TCCAAACATATCGCTTACTTCTTTGTAAGCTTGGCTACGTTTTTTCAGCTCAGATGTTATTTTATCTATCATCGGTAGGTACGATTCTATTCGAAATTTATCTTGACCTTGTCGTGTTGTTTCTGTTGAGCCGTCGGCTAATTTTTTAATAACATTACGTTGATACTCATCTTTGTATAGAGTATTTAAAATCGAAGACATAGCTTTTGCTTTTTTCTCTAATGATTCAAATTGGCCTCGTAGGTTGCAAACAAACTCTAGTAATGACACTAACATTTTATGTCCTGTTATGACATCAAGACCCGGTTTTTGCAAGTACTTACTGGTGGTATCAAATCTCTCCAATAATTCATTCCAGAAAGTAGCCATAAAAGCGTTTTCTAAACTTATCATTTTTTTCTTTAAAAAAAATGCGTCATCCTTCGTATCTTTTTTTTCTAATGGGTTTTCAGCCAATTGTTTTAAAGCATTAAAAATGCCATCATAATTGCTGACAAGGGACTTTACTGCTTGTTCGCGACAGGACCATCTTGTCGCAGAAAGTGACTTTACAACCAATACATTCCTGTAATCACCATTTTCTTCGTTCTGTTTCTTAATGTTTTTAATTAAAATTTCCCAGCGATGAGTAGATGCACCAAAAAACGCATATAATTTCTTCAAAAAGCCGAAAAAATTTGAAGCTTCTACACATTTATCCACGCTAGATTCTCCGACTAAATTTAGTGAATGAGCTGCGCAAGGAACATAACGGGCAAGTTTATTCATTTTTTTAATTTCAGCTTGAACACCATTATATTTACCAGACATATTACTAGCATTGTCATAGCTTTGCCCTCTACAGTTCTCAATTTTCACGGAGTTTGTACGTAAAAGAGATAAAATTTCGTTCGCAAGGGATTTTCCTGTGTGACTATGAATGGGAACAAAACAAAGAAATCGTTCTATAACTTTTCCATTTAAACAGTATCTGAATACAACAGACAGCTGATCCACATGGTGTGGAATCTACTATTATGGAATAATATTTTGCCTCTTTAATTTCAGTTATAATTGTATTGTAAATTTGTTTGCCCATACATCTAATTATTTCTTCATATATGGTCTTAGAGATGTAGGATACTCTGCCTTTGCCCTTCTGCCCAAAATTTTCCAAATGTTGATATAAAAATGGATCAAACTTTGAGATGAGTTCTAAAATTCCGAAATAGTTTCCATTATGTGAAGAACCTAATCTTTCGTCTTCACCTCGAAAAGCCAGACCTCTTTCAGCAATAAATTTTATAACCTCAACAATACGTTTAAAAACGTTTTTCCAATACTCAATTTCTTTGTCCATTGATTTTGTAATTTCTTCATCTATTTTGGAAGATGTGGAATGCGTTTTCCATGTTAAAAGGTTTTTACGATGCTCCAAACTATTTTCGTGAGATTTTACTTTTTCTTCTGCCTTTTTCCAATCAGAAAACCCGGTTACAAATATTTTTTTCTGATCTGTGCAAAACAGTTTGCAAATAAAGCAATAAACTGATCCGTTTGATTTTGAATACATTAGCCACTTTCTTACATATGACTCCCCGTTTGATTGCCGACTTTCGAACAGTTTTACTGACAATGACCGATTTTGTTTTTGGCATTTTCGAATTGATGCTTCAAACTTTCCATCATTATTTTGGAAGTAACCTGAACCTCTATTTAAGTAGGCTTGCCTCATACAATCACTAAATGTGTAGGCCATAGGGCTGGATCTTGTTCAATTCGCATTTCTTGCGAATGGAAGACAACGCTTTCATTAGTTTCAGGCAGCTGTATTTTTTCTGATTTTTGTACACTTTTTCCTCACTGCTGGCACTCGCACTTGATAAACTGATATTGCTTGAAGTCGAATACGTAGGCAGTTCTTGATTGACTAACACATAATTCAAAGTTAAAGGCGTTTCGCTAATACGAAAGAAGTCTGTAACTTTTGGCAATTTAGCAGTTTTTTTAACCTTTTCTTCTTGAATCTGTAAATGAATTTAAAAAATATCTTTTAACAGAGTGAAAAACCATCGCAGGCCTGTGTAATTAATCCCTTGCAAATAATCTATTTATCATTAATTTTATGGCAAAAAATTAACATTTTACTTTTAATTCATATCATAACAAAAAAACAAAAATAGGTACCTACACCACGGGATAGAAAAAAATTAAACACAGCAGCAAACTACAAATTAATTAAGACTAGTTTTAATTTAATATTTAAAAAAATATCATACCTATCATAATATAAGTATATAATATCAAAATACATTGTTTTAAATTTTGAAAATATATTTTCAAAATTAATATTCTTTTTAAAATTTAAAAATAGGAGTAGTTTGCATTTGTTTTGTTAGTTTTGAGCCTATAGTTTAAACTTTACTTTACTATTTTACTATTTACTATTATTAATATTAATTGTACCTAATGGTAAAGTATTTGTTATATCGATATCGAGGGTAAAATGGTATAAAGGAATACCATTTTATTTTAAGTAAATTAATCGTAATTTGGTTGGAACTAATCTTACCTTACGTTTAGCAAATCCGCTAAGGTATTTTCTGCCACTTGACATTTTTTTAAATTAAATTGCACTTTTTCTCAACTTTTTATTACCTTACCTCATGCACGCACAGTGGAAATATAACTAACTAACCCAAGTAATATCCAGAAATAAAGCGTCTAATTTTTTACCATCCTTTGGCGGCTAGCCGTCAAAGGATTAATTGTTTTAAATGTGCCGTGCGGCCGCGGCCTTTTGACACACTTTGGTCTATCGGTGACTATTAAAGGGTTGATAAAATAAATCATCTTTTAATAAGTACCGATCGGCTACTGTCGGCCGCTAACAAAACATGACAAATTATATTTCAGTATGTTTTTTAATAAACAATATTATAGTAGTTTTATTTTATGTAGGAATTAAAAATGTGTACCTATTTAATATTTTGTTTAAAAAAAATTCTGTCGGTGGTGTCGGGGGCCCCGAGTGGCGGGGCCTGGGGCTATAGCCCCCCTAGCCCCCCCCTTAATCCAGGGCTGATATCAGATATATCAATGTTCAAAATATGATGGATCTTTTGTATCATTAACTCCAATGCAGTGCACGTTTTAACTGACCATATTTCCTTAGTGGCATCTTTAGTTAATTGGTGTAGCTTATGGGATTCCCACTTTCTAAATGGAATTACTATAGGTCTGTCTGATTTTATTGATTCCAACAACTGAAGCTTTAATAAATCATTAGGTGTAATAACTTGTACTTTTAACGAGATATTTTCAACGGTTAAATTTGCCTTTGTTGTGTCAGCAGCCGCAGTTTTTTCTGTTATAATTTGATAATCAGAGTCATTTCGAGCTCTTACAAGACGTATAGTTTATTTACCAAATTGGGAAAGCTGATAAAAATTAAATATTGTAACGTTTTTAACTGTTCGTAGTGTGAATAAAAACACGCACTGGTTAATTAACGAACTAAACTATTTATTTTATAACTTAATTACACTTAAAACACTAAGAAACTATAAAACTAACTAAACACTTAACTACTAATTACACTGTGCAAGTTGAAAAATAGAACAACCGGGGCACTTATCTGGTAAAGTCAATTCAGGTACGCTGTATTTATTGGTGTTGGTAGTTTTTTTAGGTTAGGTCATTTATTCAAGTTATTTTAAATGGCATTTTTTTTGGAAAGTACGGGTTTTTGCTGCAATATTTTAGGTATTTAATTAATCTAATCGCTAAAATACAATTGGATATTCATTATTTTGGTAAAATACACCAAAAAGAAACGATTTTAAGAAAGAAACTATTGATTTAGTTGAAAACATGCCTTTAATTTTTATTCGTTTTCAAAAAATGCGTTTTATTCATACCCATATAAATGAATAAGTATATTTTTTACTTTTTTGGTTTAAAATTAGTTCTAAAATAGCTTATTTTTGGATGACATAAATATAAAAAAAAATCGGTTATGCCTTCCCAGACAGCAATATGACGTCTTAATTAAGTCTGCATAAGCTCTATTTTATGATTTGGACGTCAAATACAACATCAGAAAGAAGTTTTTAAGAAGTTCTTTAGACTTCGAATGCGCCACCTATTGAACTAATCAAGACTTCTCAAAAAAGAACTCTTGAGGAACCCTTTTCTTTAACTTCGCAATTAGGCATTTTAAAGAGTCCTACTGTATAAACTTATAAAAAGACTTCTTTAAAATTTTCCGTTTTGGATATAGAAGTACTACTAGGGTACTGATGAAGAAAATCATTTTAATAATTTGCTCGTATTCGCTTATTTTAGGAATTGCGATTACTTCGTCTCACTTTTGTTTAAATTCAAGCGTGCTCTTCACCGGCACCGATAGATAGGCCGTTTCGCTCTTTTGGAGCTCGTCAGTATCGGGTAGCCGTTTACCTAGGTCTAAGACCGTTTGGTATGGAGCACGCTCTAAATTCTACTTCGCCGCTTCTTATATCAAACACAAGCAGTTACAGCGGTGAGAAGAAAGTAATCGCATTAAAATGTCTTAAATGTGACGTCTCCATGTTAACGTCTTAAAGAGTTAATAATATGATTTCAGTAAGAAGTAAGAAAAGAGAATACTGTAAGATATCATATAACTGAAATCTTATTTATGAAACCCTTAGTAGCTTCTAATTTTGATTCCAATAAGAGGTCAGAAAAAAAGATACTAATAAGATGTTAAAAAATTGACTTCTCATTTATGAATTCATCAAGAACTCTTAATCTTGAGCTCCTAAAAATGATTTCTCTAAGATGTCATATTGTGACCTCGGTAAGATGTTTTTCAACAGACTTCGTACAGAAATCTTTCTGAATTGGATGCTGTCTGGGTTTACACATGTTTAATAATTAAAATTATTAATTCATTTAAGTTTTGTTTTTTTCAATTATCATCTATAATTTCTTCAGCTTATTCCTGTAAATTCCAACAAATATCTCCTAATAAAGCATCAAGTTTCTTTCCGCTGTACCAATGTTCGAGTCTTGCTGAACATTATCTGATGAAAGCGTTCACCATGCTCATCGGATTCGGCTGGTGATTGTTCGGCAAATTTTTCGATGTGGCAATGAAGAAAATGTAATTTCAAAGACATGCTAACACCGATGTTGTGGAAAGCCTTAAGCATGTTTTCAATATGTATGCGCCAATCTTTGGATCGGTGAGCTCCGAGTACATTTTCAATGACCGCTTTTAAACAGTTCCATGCCACAAGCTCTGCATCACTAAGAGCATCTTCGAATAGCCTGTTCTTTATCAAACGTCGAATATCAGGCCCGTTAAGTACTCCTGTAATAAAAAAATATCAAATGAAATTTCAATTGGTCAGAATTTAGATATAAATAGTTTTGAACACTAACCTTCCTTAATTTTCATTCCGCTTAACCGTGGAAAAATTCGACGTAATTCATTAAATGAATTGCCTTCAGGATCCAGTTTTTTATGAAATTTTTTACAATTCCTAGCTTTATGTGTAGTGGCGGTAGTAAAACTTTTTCGGTTGGTACAAGTGGAATCTCAATCATGTTATGTTGCCGCAATCTAACTTCTTTACGTGTAGGCCAGTTTCGTTTTTCGTTTTGATCGCCAGCATAACGAGTGTCCCATAAACACATAAAACACATATTTTTTGTGTACCCCAATTGCAAACCAGTTAAAATTGAAACGACCTTTAGGTCCGCACAAATTTTCCATTTGTGCTCATCGTACTTCACTAGATCGATGATTTTTTTCAGGGATGAATAGTTCTCCTTTGTGTTTGTGCTTATTGCAATCGGGACGGAATTTTTTGAGTTGGTAACGTGGAGTAGAACTGCTTTTAAACTACTTTTGGATGAATCTATAAATAGTCTCCAGTCTTCAGGTTTATATTCATGATGCAAAGTTAAAACCAAACCACGAATATCAAGGCAAAAAGCCAATGTATTATTTTCAATTGATTTAAAAAAATTAGAAAAACGACGATGACGGCCAATTGATCCATATATACGAGCGTCAGGTGCCAAAATGTTCACTTGTTTCAATTCTTTGGCTAAGAGAATCGATTGTCGCTGCGATAACTTGAGGCGGCGTATCATAATGTCAAGACGGTTTTGTGTAATTTCCATATGGTTGCAATTTGGAGTAACGTTTGATGGCACATATTCGGTTACACTTAATTCTCCAGCGGTTACAAAAGTTGGCGGCATATATTCTTCAGTAGGGCTTGGTCTATTTGGAATGGGTATGCTTTCCGAGTGAGGCAATGTCAACTGAACAAATTTTGTTGCTTTGTATGTCATAGAACTTTTCTTATTTCTGTTTGTTCCGAAAATATAATTCACGCAGGCATAACATTCATCTGAATTGTGTACCTGTGGGTCCGTCCAAATCATAGGAATACCGAAAGGCATACAATTGATCTCACCTTTATTCCATTGATTCAATTTTTTCAAACTTCCTGTACAAATTATAGACGGAGCCCATTCCACATCACAAAAAACCTCTTGATTGAAGTATTGGCGATATATTTCAACGATGTCTGAAGTAATTTTACGCCGACTAGGCTTAAGAGTGTATTTTCCGCAAACATAACAAAAGTTATCGAATTTTAATACTCCACATTAGGGTGAGCCAAAAAAACTAACCTATCGGATTTATGGGTTAAAATGAACCTACATACCGAGCAAAAAATTTCCCTGCAAGGCAAAATTTTTTGCTCAATTTTAAAAGGTGTCGGTGAGCATTCTAAGTTTTCCATTGAAATAACACGTAAAAAAATCTTTTTTCATTAAAAAGACTATAACTTTTGAACCGTTTGAGATAAAATTTTTTACGTCGCGGATTCTTGTAGAGCATAAAATTTTCCAAAGAATCTATACCAAAATTATTTTTTTTTATTTAAAAATTCGTATGTTTGAAAGCTTTGAAAAGTGTAAAAAATCACTAAAACTGCAGTTTGTAGTGATTTTTTACACTTTTCAAAGCTTTCAAACATACGAATTTTTGAATTAAAAAAAATAATCCTGGTATAGATTCTTTGGGAAATTTTATGCTCTACAAGAATCCGCGACGTAAAAATTTTTATCTCAAACGGTTCAAAAGATATAGTATTTCTAATGAAAAAAGATTTTTTTACGTGTTATTTCAATGGAAAACTTAGAATGCTCACCGACACCTTTTAAAATTGAGCAAAAAATTTTGCCTTGCAGGGGTTAGTTTTTTTGGCTCACCCTACTCCACATGTATTCATTTTGGACACTTTTAAACGACTAACATTGCAAACCAATAAAAACTACCGATAAAAAGAATGCGTGTAAAAACATATCGTAATAGAATGAAGGTTGCTATATTAAAATGTGTAAAATAATAACTGAATTTTGTTTCTTTTTGGTAAATATAAATTCATACCACGGGTGGCGCAGTGGGTTAGGCGACTATGCCGAGACAAACTGCGTCCGAAGGTAGCGGGTTCGATTCCCGGTCACAGCCTTGGGTGTTGTGCGCGTTGAAAGTCGGTAGATGAGTCTAACTCATCGAGGACTGTGGTTCGGATTCCACGTTTTTTTTAAGGTGCCCAACGGCAATGAAATAGAGGTGAAGGCAAGGGTTTTTATTCTGGTCTATTTGTTTTTTTACATATATTTAATGCAAAAAATAAACTATGTTGAAATTTATTTGGAATCACAAAACTATAAAGTATAAATAAAATGCAAATTTTATAAACAAATGGTAAAAAATTGTATCACAAGCCAAGATGGACGTGAACCAGGTGCCTGAGGGGGCTCCCGTCATAGACGATGATGAACCCGAGTACCTACCGGCAGAAGACAGCTTCCTGGAGGGCACAGGCGATGCCGACCCGGTCCACCAGGTCGACGATGTTTCGCCACCATCTTCAACCAGTACCATACTCGTTGGGCAACACCCCGGAAGTGTCCAGGTGCCGGTGCCAGCATCTACAGCGATTCCAGAGCACCGAGTCACCCGTGTACAACATGGCGCCCGAGCAGGGACAAAATACGAAGGCCAGGAGGTTTTCGGGTCCCGAACCACTTTCCCGGACCTCAGCGAGGTGGTCTATGAGATGGCCCGTGCCCTGAAGGACGTACCCGTCCAAAGAAGCGTCTTCCCCACGTACCAAGGCGAAGACTTCGAGGATCCACACTTCTTTCTGCGAAAAATGGAAGAAGCCCTTAAGAAGCGCCACATCCCGGAGGACGAATGGGCCTTCCATGCCATGGGACAGATTAAAGGGAAGGAAGAAAGTACGTTCGCTTGGTTCAAGACCCAAGAAATTTCGTGGCCACGGTTTCTGACAGAATTCAAAGAAACCTTCATGAGCCGCGCTAAAGTCACGAAACTTATCTCGAAGTTTTATGGGGAGAGCCAAACAGAAGATGAAGACGTGGTCCGGTTCATCCAAAGGAAGAGGTCCATGGCGAGGTGGTTGCTGCCGAAGATTCCGGAGGAACACTTGGTGGACGAAGTATTCGAACTGCTAATTCCGAGAGTTCGGTACGTGCTACGACTACGGCTGCCAATGTCCATGGACGAGATGACCCGCTACGCACGAGCTTTGGAGACCGATCTGAGGGCGAGCGACTTCAACAGGGCCACGTCGATCCGATTCCGGGACGCACCCACGGCGTCGGAAAACTTCCAGCGGAGAAACGCAACCCGGGAGGGCGCTTCTCCGCAGTAAACATCATCAAGGATGGAGAAAGGGCCCCGGTAGTACTGATCCAAGTACACGGCAAGCCCTTGAGGGCGTTGGTGGATACCGGCGCCTGCCTGACGTTGGTGGAAAGGCAACATGTGATGGACTTCGAAGAGGAACCCCACGTTCTGATGGCAGTCGGCGATCACCAGGTGCACGTCCTGGGATACGCCCGCACACACTTCCGTATCAGAGGGCAGTCCTACGTCCATCGAATGAGCGTCGTGGAACATCTCCCGTATCCAGTCATCCTAGGAATGGATTTTCTCCGGGACCAGCAGGCCTTGGTGGACATCGCCAGAGGATGTTTGTACCTGGGGAAACGAGAGAGACTGGCGATATACTGGAGGAACCACGACGACGCCGGCGATGGGGAAGAGCTCCCGCTTCCCTCGCTACCTGACCAACTACCAGATGACATTAAGAACAAGATGACCACAATCTTGGAGGAACACCGTGGACTGTTCAGCGGTCGAATGCGACCACCGTCGGCGATGCTGAGGGCCCACCGGATCGAACTCAGCGACCGAACGCCGTTCCGAACGAGTCCCAGGCGATATTCAACGGAGAAGGCAGCGGAGATCGAGGCCCAAGTCGAACAAATGCTCCAGGGGGGCATTGTCGAGCCTTCAAACTCCCCATACGCTTCGCCGGTGTTGCTGGTGAAGAAGAATCAAGGATGGCGTTTCTGCGTGGACTACCGTGAGCTAAACAAGCGCACGACTGATGTCATCAGTGTCCTGCCACGCATCATCGACACCGTCAGGGACCTGGGGCAGGCCCGCTTCTTTACCAGTTTGGACCTTACCAGCGGGTACTGGCAGCTGCCCATGGAAGCCGCTTCGAAGAAGTATACAGCGTTCTTCACTCCGTCCGGCGGGCAGTTCCAGTTCACGGCGATGCCCTTCGGCCTGAAGCTGGCCCTAGCTACCTTCCAGAGGGCCATGACGGAGATCTTCTCGGGCATGTTAAACCGTTTCGTCAAGGTGTACCTTGACGACATTATCGTCTACTCAGCAACCTACGAGGAACACCTGGAGCATCTATAGCGTGTCCTAGAGAGGATCGAGGTCCACCAGCTGCGTTTGAATCCAGACAAATGCCAGTTCGCCACGACGAGTCTGCCCTACCTGGGCTATGAGGTGGACGGCAAGTTTACCAAGGCCCGGGAATGTCACCTGCTGAAGATCAAGCAGTTCGAGCGGCCCAAGAACAAACGCTAGGTCCAGGCGTTCCTGGGATTGGTGAATTGGCTCCGTGGGTACCTTCCAGACGTCGCCACCTTAGTCGCCCCTATGACTGAGCTGACGGGGAACGTGCCGTTCAAATGGACCGATGACTGCGAGCGGAGCTGGGTCCGGACCAAAGAAGCCTTGGAGAAACCACAGCGACTCGAGCGGCCCCATAAGGACTGGAGATTCGTCCTGCAGGTCGACGCCTCCGAGGAAGGCATGGGGGCCGTTCTCATGCAGGAGGACTCCGAGGCCAAGCGACATCTGATCCACTTCAGCTCGTCGAAGTTCCACAAAGCAGAAAAACATTACCATATCAACGAGAAGGAGTGCCTGGCCATGGTGTGGGCAATCCGAAGATACCGTCACTACTTGGAGGACAAACACTTTGTCCTGCGGACGGACAATCGGGCCCTTGTCTGGTTGCAAAGCCATCAGGACGACCGGGCCAAGTTGACACGCTGGGCATTGTTGCTACAAGAATTCTCCTTCACCATCGAACACGTCGCCGGGAAGGCGAACCAGCTCCCAGACTACCTGTCGAGACACGCCGCCGAGTGTCCAGAGGGGCCTGCCATCGCCTACGACGAACTCATCCCGACACCAGCCGTCTGTGTCCTTCAAGAGGTCGAGCCATTGGTGAAGAGGATCCTGGCTGGACAATTAGTGGATCCGATCACCCAGCGCCTTATCCGAAGGACACGGAAAGCCGAAGAGGATGGCCCCCAAGACGAGGTCGACGAAAGTCTACTGGCGAACTTCATCGTGTCCGTGGAAGGAAACCTGTTCCAGCAGCGCCAGGATGGGACGTGTCGGGCGTACGTGCCCGAAGGCATGCGTCCCCAGGTCCTGGAACATTACCACGCTGGAGAGGACAGCGCACACCCAGGCCAGAGGGAGACCCAGCGGGCAATCAATGCTCGTTTCTACTGGTATGGAATGCAGTCAGAAATCAGAAGGTTTGTGCAGAAGTGCCTAGTCTGCAAACAAATCAAAGGACGAAATGTACAACCAGCGGCGCCGATGTCTACGCACACGCCGACCCGAGCATGGCAGTACATCTCGATTGACACGTTGGGCCGCTACCGCGGCGATGGGACTGAGCCAGAGTACGCCGTCATCCTGGAAGACGTACTCACGAAGTGGACCGAAGCAGTTCCAGTCAAGGATACCCGTCATCAGACGATCACCGAGGTCCTGGACGCAGTCTTCTTGCGCTACGGGGTCCTCGAAGTGGTGATCGCCGATTGTGCCACCCAGTTCACCCTCACCAAGTGGGAGAAATACTGCAAGAAGCTGGGAATGCGGATCGTCAACTCGGCGACCTACCACCAGCGGGCAAATCCCGTCG